CCTTCCCAAGTTCTCGTTGGTAGCATGTTGACCATCGCCGATGATCTTCATGTTGTCTTCCAACGCTTGAATCCTCTCACGGTTTGACATCATAATTTTTTTTATTTTTTTTTACTCTAAAAAAATTCGAACAAAATAGGGGAAAAAATTCGAAAAATCGAACCCCCAACAAGACTCAAAAAATCAAACCAAAAAAAGATATTCGGCCCCTCAACAAAAGGTAATAACCGAACAAAAATCAAACAAAGAACTAACAAGATGACACTTTTTTTTTTTAAGACACGAAAAAAAATTGAAAAATTCGAATATTAATTCGAAAATTTCGACTCCAAAACAAAGAAATTCGGTCCCTCAGCAAAAGGCAAACCGAAAAAAAAGAAAAAGATAGAATAAATAAAAACACGATCAGCACCTCTCAATGAAAGCACCAATGATGAAGGACCGCTGATCGGTGTTGTTATTTATACGTTGGGTGTGAACAAACGGCGCACTCAGGGCCTTCGTTTATCCACGAAAGGTGTATCTAACAGACGCACTACGACCTTCTCCTAGATCGTCCGTTCTCCGCGTGACCTCCGCGCGTCCCAGCTACCGCCCGCGCCCAGATCACCCACGCCGTACCCACGTGCACCCGTGCACCCGTCCATCTTGCGCCTGCGTACTCCCTGCCAAACCCGCGTGCGCGGCTTGTTCGCCTTCTCGTGTGCATCAAGTGCCGATGCACACCTTTTGCCTTTTAGTTCCTCACTAGACTCGCCGATCCCTAACTCCACTTCCGTATCATTCCCCTCCTCTTCAAGACCTTCCTTGTCCCCAAGGATTAGGAAATTCAGCTTCCCAACTCGACCATCCCCGTCATCCTCATCAGGTGACTCGCCTGGATCCTCAGTCCTCAACTTGTCTCTCTTACTTGATCTCCCGAACTCCATAGTTCCTTTCCAATAATCGGTTGTGATCGGACCGAGAGTCTCCAACCACTGGCATCCAAGCACTATATCAGTCGCCTTCAATGGCAAGGCATAGAGATACACTCTCATCCTTTGACCTTGAGCCTTCAACTTTACACCCTTGAATAGAATATCTCCTCGTAGTGTTTCCCCGTTTTCAACCTTGACTCCAAAAGGTTTTACCTTGGTGAATGGAATCTCGATTTCTTTGGATAGCTCCTCATCAATGAAGTTTAGCGTAGATCCGCTATCAACCACTACTTCCACCAATTTTCCTCTCACTTCAGCCGTGAATGTGATCATCTTCGGACCACGCTTCTTGCTTTTAACCATATGCAATAAGGACTCTTCTCGTGGTTCTTCTTCTTCGCAATTATCTCCAATTTCTAACAAAAATACTTCCTTACCCTTACACTTGTGGCCTGGCGTGAACTTTTCGTTGCACGAATAGCATAGGCCTTTTTCTCGTCGTCGCTGCATCTCCTCATCAGTAAGCCGCCGTATGTTGCTTGTCGTTCGAACAGTCTCGCCCATCGGCTTGCTTTCTGTTCGTGCCGTTAGCTCCTCGGTCGCCGCGTTCGTGCGCTTGGTCTCAGTGCGCACGTCGCTTGGCTTCGCCTTGCGTACTGCCACGAGATGATCTTCGTACAGTCTAGCCGACTCTATAGCTGCTCGCATTGATCCTGGCCTATCCAACCTCACCTCGGCTGCCAAATCAGCTTTAAGTCCTCCAACGAAAGTCCCCACTAGCGCACTCTCAGGCCAATCCCTCACTCTACTAGCAATGCACTCGAACTCCTTTTGGTACTCCCTCAGACTTCCGACTTGCTTGATTCTCGACAAAGCTTCGTTGTAATCGTGGTAGTCACTTGAGCCGAACCTTGTGATGAGCTCTTTTTTGAAATCCCTCCAATGCATGTGTTCGCCATGGTTCTTGTGCATCACCCATTGCCACCATACGTTTGCTTCCCCATCAAGGTGATAAGCAGAAATTTGAACTCTTTCGTACCTTGGCACATCATTGATCTCAAAAAATTGCACAGCTCGACTCAACCATGCATCCGGATCTGTTCCCGTGAACGTGGGAATAATAATTTTTTTTCGTGTGCCCGCCCTGTCGTCCATCTACTCATCGCGATCGTGGCGCCCCCCGTGTCGCCGTGCGTCGCGCCGTCGGCCATCGCAGTGTGGCCTCCCCTCGTCATGTGTCGCATGCGACGCGTACGACGCGTGCGATCGCCAGTCGTCGTCCTCTTCGCGTCTTCGGTCGTGATGTGCGCGTCCACCATACCGCTGCCGATCGTCGTGGTGGTGATCTGCGCGCGATGCGCGTGTGCCCCGCGATCGTTGATCGTCCTCGCGATCGGTCCTGGTGCTTGCTGCCGTGGACCGCGACCCGTGTCGTCTCCTTGGCCGTACGTTCATGCGTGTGAGCTGCCCGGCCAAGTCCTGGACCATCAGCTCAATCCTTCCCAAGTTCTC